AAACTTTAGGTGTTTTAGGAATACCAAGAATGTGAATAAACCAATTATACATATCATAAATGGTCTTATGTAGCAAAGGAATAACATCTCCTCTTTTTTCCTTTCTCATTGGTGTTAGATCCACAATTGCCTTGTTGAGCTTTTTGTTATGCGCCTTATCTTGGACAGATCCAAAATAATTCTCTTTACCTTTATCGTTCTCATCAATATACACTTTCTCAATTGGACTTGTAGTATCAACCACTTTAGAATTAAGTTCATCCAATGACTTTGATTTTTTAATGCATACTTTCCCATGAGTATCTACAAGAGAGTCAAAACTACTAGAAGAAGAAGTAGGAATGCTAGAGTTAGAATAAGAGATAATCTCACTCAAACTCTCTTGTTTTTCTCTCTCGACCTCACTATCATCCTTTTCTTTTTTCCTCTCATGGTCATCTTTGTTTTCTTTTCTCTCATTCTCACTTTTTTTCTCACTTGACATCCCATTCTCTTCACACAACACAACTTCTCTTTTTTCCTCTTTTGGGAAGTCAGCATGCACTCCTTTTCTCCTCTCTCTTTTCTCTCTCAAATTTCTTCATTGCATCTTTCACGCGATTCTGATCTTCATAAACTTGGGCTGGAGTTAAAGGTGCAAGTGTATATTTTCTTTCGTTTAGCTCAAGAGAAACTCTATTCTTTCTCCTATCATGAATTGCATTCCTATTAAATTTCCATGACCGCCCAAGCATGATGTGACAATCTTGCATTGGAATGACATCACAAAGAACATTGTCGGAATATCTCCCAATAGAGAAAGAAATCATGCATTGCTTGGTCACCTTAAGCTCACCAAAATCATTCAACCATTGCCGCTTATAAGGAGTAGTGTGTTTAATGCATGTAAGTTTCAACTTCTCCACAATGTATGAACTTACCACATTTGTACCACTTTCACTATCAATAATCATAGAGCAAATATTACCATTTATCCCATACCTTGTATGTAAAATAGTTTCTCTCCTTAAATTAGCTATAGTGACATTCTTCTCCTTCAATCGTTTGATCAACGCATCAACACAGTTAATGTCGTTTTGAGTTCTAGCTTCAATTTCCTTACCTTTTTTAAACATCTCAAAAAAATATCCAGGAAACAAATATCTCTCAATTTGACTTTTTTTTTCTCTCTCTATTGATCTCACTCTCTCTTGCCTTTTCCCACTCAAATTACTACCTTTGGATGGATCCTTCAGGATTTATATATAAACCTTATTAGTCACAACCTTTTAGAAGTGAGATGTAGAAAGAAATGAATTTATCAATACCCAGATAAATTGGGATTGATGAGACAAGAAAAAAGACCACTTTGGATTACAATTTTTTTTTTTCAAATTTTCCCTCTTATTGATTTTCCTCTTTGAGGTAGAAAATCAAGAATCAAAACAAATCTGGAGTTTCTTAAAAATACCTTAATTCTCAAGCAATACCTTTTCTTTTTGGCTTTTTTTTTTGCTATGTAGCTTAGCTTAAGCAACTACAACTTAGACAAATTTTTTTTCCCTTTTTTTCTTTTTGTTTTGAAACTCCCACGATATCAAGAACGGAACCTTGATAGAACCGCTCTGATACCACTTGATAAGAATCAGGTTACCAGAATAAACAAGAAAGTAATGCGGAAGTGAAATTATAAAGATTAAAGACAGAAATTGAAAGATATGTGAAATTCAAGAATAAAATCCCCAATTTCAAAATAAAGTGCTAAGAACCCTAAGAGGCCGTTTGGTTACTGGTTAGAGTCATGCAGATATTAGTTATACAGAGTTTAGTTATGCAAGTATTAGTTATAGAGGGTTTAGTTATGCAGGTATTAGTTATGGAGGGTTTAGTTATGCAGGGTTTAGTTATGCATGTATTAGTTATGTATGTATTAATTATACAAATATTAGTTTCGTAGATATTATTTATGTGGGATTTAGTTATGTAGAAATTATATTACATAAATTATAACATTGATTATTTAATTTATTGTAAATTAATATACTTTTTTAAAAAAGTCGGAAATTATAAAATCCATGCTTATAAACAAGCAGTATCCAAAATAAATAAAATGCAACAGTCCCTCGGGGGTGGGGTGGAGGTGTAAAAACGACGAAACTCAAAAACACCCGAGGGGGTCGTTCTGGTTTTTTTTTGGGTGGTTGTGTGTGTGTGTGTGGGAGGGGGGGGGGTAAATAATGTAACTACAAGTTACAAAAATAGATTAAGTCCTTTTTTAAAAAAAGAAAAGATATAACTCCTTAATTTTGTAAATTAATATACATTATTATTTACAAACAAATAAGTAAGAAAACAAATTAAGGGTAAATATGTAATTTTATTATTTTAATTCTTGTATAACTAATACCCTCATAACTTATTCCACCTTCTACCCTGCATAAAATTATACTTAGATTTCTTCATAAGTTATGTAAGTATTAGCTATGTGGCATTACAAAAATACAACCAAACACCACATAAAATCAATACATGTATAACTTTTATACAACATTGGAGACACACCAACCAAACATTGTATAAAATTTATACATGAATAATTTTGATTCTATTTACAAACCAAACATGGTACAAAATTAATACATGAATAACAAAGTTATTCATGTATTAACTTTGCCCTTATCCAGTAAACAAACGGCTCCTAATTGATCTTAGTATTCAAAATTAGCGGATTAAGACTAATTATGATACTAATAGAGTCAATTCAAGAACTTAGATAAAAAATGATCTAGACCCCTATTACGAAGAAATTAGAGACAATAATTAGTATAAGACTAATCACCTTCTTTAATTTACGAATAGAAACCAAAGATATCCCAAATAGAATAGGATTTAAATCCTACTTTTATGGACACTTTAAACTAGGTAACTTTTAAACTAGGAAACTTTAAACTAGGAAACTTTAAACTAGGAAAACAGGAAAACTTTAAACTAGGAAACTTTTTAAACTAGGAAACTTTTAAAATAGGAACTTTTGACTTTTAAGCGTTCAACTTTTTGGACTCTTTTATTGGGCTTCGTGTGGCCCAATCTTCTTTCTTTTGGGCTTGAATTTGGACCTCTTTCGTGATAAACATATTCTTGATTTTGTTTGATGCCCGTCAACTATAGTACAAGTAGGCTGACATGGATGCTATCACATGTCCAAATCTTTTATGCCATATATCTATTCTACATGAGATTTAAGACTATCCACAAAATCTGAATGTTTAACAACCAAGGACATTATGTCTTTTCCATCAATAGCAGAGTTGTTTGTCAAAGTGTATAGTCCATCTACCAATCATCTTTACCTTCCCAGTGTAAAGCTCCCGAAACACAAAGAAGTCAGGAAAGAAAGAAGCAGAACAATGTAATTCACTGTTAATTTTGCCACAAACAGTAAGTTAAACTTGAACTGAGGTAAGTGAAAGACATTAGTAATAGTATGCCCCTTAGTTAGAGTACTAGCTCCTGTGTGTGTGACCAGAGAGTGTCTCCATTAGGGAGAAGCACTCTCTTAGATTGTTAGATTTTTACACTGAGTCGGCATCCAACATATTCAGGTTTGACACTATGTGGTTTGTGGCTCCTTTGTCCACTATCCACTGATGAATGGTGTTTTATATTGTAAACAGTACAGATACCTGTAGTGTTTGCTGAGTGTGAGGATTCTTCAATTTTGTTCAGGAATTGCATAAACAACTGATATTGATCCTTAGGAATAGACCAATTTTCCAGTTGGCACAACTGGTCTTGGTTTAGACTTTAGATGACTTGACTATCTTGAACACACTAATTTAAACGAATTACCTATTAAGCCCAAATTTGACAAATCCATATCCTACAAAATTAAATATTCCATTGTGATATTTGACATCTATAGTATTAAAGAACAGAATAAAAGATAAAGTTGTACTGGGGAGTGATAACACTAAAAGCGAGTCCTTAGAATATTTTGTGTGTTAAAAAAGTATAACAGCTTTGTCTTTATGGTCAACATACACATTTTTGGACATTTCAGCAGGGAAAGTAGGAGGAGCATTTTGTGATGGACACGGTAATAGTTTTAGATACATCCTACCCTCCCCAGACCTCCACTTGTGGGGTTACACTGGGTATGTTGTTGTGGTAGAGTATTAGTTTCAGATAAATAGCAGTAGACCTCTTTTTTCTCCTTAATAATAAAACAGATTGCCTTTAGTTGTTAGCAAGTGCTTAAAATTCATTAATACAAAGGTATATTATATGTTAGGTGTAATAGTGTGGCTGTTTAGGATGAGTAAGAAGGTTTGTATTGGTAAACATTGCAACAAATAAGTGCTACTATTTAGGTATTTTTTTTGATAATGGTGGTGTCCGGGCTAGCTAGCACACACCTCGACTAATTCCACAGGATACCTCCCACCAACAACACGTTACCAGCTAGGAGGACATATGGGAATAAATCACCTAGTGTTTTTGTTTCTGATGGAAGTTGAACCTGAGATAGTCATGATTCTCAACCCACTTCATTGACCACTAAGCCACACCCTTGTCTAGTGTCCTTGGAGCAAATGCAGGTTTTGCATCTAATTCAAGCCCTAAGCAATCTTTGAAGTTCATCAGATTGCAGCTTGCATATAGTTCCATTTATCACTTCTGGTTTTGAAGCTAGGCGTTTACGATTTGATAATGTCTATTCCCTTTTTCAACCGATTGAGTTTCATGAACTTTCCTCTGGATTTATGCGGATGCCTTCATGAGATCACACTAATGAGACCCAATAATATATATCCATGCTAGTGTTTGTCTTATCTTTCAGGATTTGTGTGTACAATTAAGATCTGAAGGTCTTTCAGGACTTGGGTGCGCATTTGATTTCTAATTCATTTATCCCTTCATCTTTTCTCAAATGCTAAAGAAACACTATATGAAGATTCAAGTAGTAGGTGAAGCATACTTTTTCTATTTAGAGCTTATGTTCAGGTTACATGTAACTGCAGGAATTGGCAAGAACTTGGACCAAGGAACTAAATCTAGATGGAAAGATTGTGGTCCCTGGATTCATTGATTCCCATGTGCACTTCATCCCTGGGGGACTAGAGGTTTGCATCAGTCCTACCATCTCATATCTGTATTTCTTGTCAAGCTTAATCATTTTTCTAGGTCCTGGACAAAGTTAAGCTGCAGAGTTGGTGATTACACACTTCATGCTTGGGTGTGCTACTGGGTGCAGGGCATAAATCATCTGAGATATCATACAATGTCATTAAAAAGTGAAAAAGAAACTATCAAACTGGAAAAAGGAATATCTATCCTCAGTAGGAAGAGTGGTTTTGATTAACAGCATATTAGATTCACTTTCCATTTATCGTGTCTTTGTTTCCTATCCCTGTCACGGTAGAGGTAAGGATTGACCAGTTGAGAATGAATTTTCTTTGGAATGATAATGAAAACATCTTTACTATCCTATTTAGTTGAGATGTGTAAGGACATGATGCTTGATGAATGATCCTGTGAGAAGTATCTATACTTGGGAATGTTAGTAAGATTGAACCTTATCTATAGTTATATTCTACACAAAACATGATAATCCTTTCCAAGTGGGACATTATATACATTTAGGGGTCGTTTAGTTGGAAGTATTAGGAAAAATAGTCTATGCATTATGTATGATATTATTTAGTACTATGTTTGGTAGGAATTTTGGGCTTATGTATAACTAATCCATGAAATAGTTATACATCCTACATGGTATTATGTGATATATGACTAATATCTCCCATTTGGTGGTATTAGTAATACATAGGATTTAATACCATGGGATTAACTATGTAAAGACAAAAATACCCCTCAAATCCTTTTAGTCATTTTATTTATTTTCTTGATTTTATGTTTTATATTTGTATTAGTAAATTTATTTAAATAAATTAGCTAACAAATTTTATTATTTAGAGAGTTGTTAGTTGCTAAATAAATATAAATCGATATAATATTTGAAATATAAGTTGTTTAACATTTACTAATTGAAAAGGCAATATATCACCACATGACATTTGTAATCTTAATTGAATGTATTATTTGTTGATATATATATGTGATTTTCTAATTATTTGTATTTTGAACAATTTATAAAATTGCATTCATATTAAAATTGCAACTTGCAATTTTTATGTGTAAAATGTAGATGGTTTATTTAATGTTACTATTGTTTATCGTTTTTTCAGTTTTAAAAGTAGATGGTCTATTTTTTGTAAATTGAAAATTGACGTTTTGTGAGTGATCAATTTATTAAGATGAAAATTATTTACCCTCAAATAATTCCAGCGAGAAAATAGCAAATTTGACAACAAAATTGTTCTTATCTTAGCTAGTTATAAAGCCATAAAAATAATATTGTCCAATAATTATCTACCTTGACCTAATTACATAAAAAAGAAAATCTCCTAATAATTCAAAGGTATAATTGAAAAGAAGTTTTTTTTGTAGAGTTTTAATTCAAACACATGATGAGGTGGGAAGCAATGCACCAAACATTTGATAAAAAATAAACCCTGCATAACTAATCCCTGCGTTATTAATCTTTGTACCAAACAACCCCTAATATTCTAGCGCCCCCTCAAGTTGGTTCATATAAGTCATATGTACCAAGCTTGTTACCAATGCAACTAATAGTCTAATACGAGTACCAATGAGGAACTTGGTGAAAATATCTACACGTTGATCATTTGACTTCACAAATTTTGTAACAGTCTCTTGAGAGTTTTTATTTTTTTTGATAAAATGACAGTCAATCTCAATTTGCTTAGTCCTCTCATGAAATACTGGATTGACGCATTATGAAGGGCCACTTGATTATCCCATACAAGTTTCATCTGGCTGATTTCTCCAAATATGAATTCTTTGAGCAGTTGTTTGATCTAAACTAGCTCACAAGTTGCTATGACCATTAACCGATATTCTGCTTCTGCACTAAGATCGAGCTGCCACATTTTGTTCTTACTCTTTCAAGACATCAATTTACCTCTTACTAAAACACAATATCTAGATTCCAGGCATAGAACATCTATCAAAAGGTGATCATGCCTGATCAGCATCTTTATATACAATGATCTGCTCATGCCTCATTCCTCAAAGAGTAGTCCTTTGACTTGTTTGATTTTATATACCGCAGAATGCAGACAACTGCATCCTAATGACTATTGCAGGGAGAATCCAAAACTTGACTTACGACACTCACATAAAAAGAAATATCAAGTTTAATTATTGTTCGATTATTCAACTTGCCAACCAATCACCTTTATCTTCCAGGATCACAAAGTGGTTTCCCCTATCCTAGCATGAGTTTAGCATTCAAATCTATAGGAGTAGTCCTTTGACTTGTTTGATTTTATATATCGCAGAATGCAGACAACTGCATCCTAATGACTATTGCAGGGAGAATCCAAAACTTGACCTATCACACTCACATGAAAAGAAATATCAATTTTAATTATTGTTCGATTATTGAACTTGCCAACCAATCACCTTTATCTTCCAGGATCACAAAGTGGTTTCCCCTGTCCTGGACTGAGTTTAGCATTCAGATCCATAGGAGTGTTAATGGGTCGACATCCTGTCATTATTGTCTACTTAAGAATGTACAAGGTATATTTTTGTTATGAAAGATGCCTGATATGTGGACTAAATGAGTCATACTATCCTATTATTGCCGGTGATAATGATATCATCAAATATAAACTACCAAATAACTACACAAATTTGGAGTAGAATGCCGATAAGACACAAAGTGATTAACTTCACTATGAGTCATGTCAAACTCCTGAATTATTATGCTGAACATGCCAAACTAGGCTCGAGGAGATTGTTTTAGCCCATAGAGTGACCAATGCAATCAACATATAAGGCTATTAGATCCCCCCCTCCCCCCCGAGCAACCAAATGAGGTGGTTGCTCCTTATAAACTTCATCCTTACGGTCACTGTGGAGAAAAACATTCTTAATATCCAACTGATAAAGAGGCCAATGACGTAGAACAACCATGCACAGAAAAAGGCGTACAAATGTTATTTGACCTATGTTGCTCGGACTTCTAAAAAATATTATCGGTTGTGTGTCAGATCCTCCAAAAGTAAGTATTCACTCAAACCACTGGGTTTAATTAGAGAATGTACAAGAACTAACACAGGAAAGACAATATTCTGACTACCTAATTGCAGGAAATAATCAATATAATTAACTCTGACTAATCCGAATTGAAACACAAAACAATTTACAATGTTCTTAAAAATCAGCACCAAGGAATAATGCATGAACTTCACCAACTCTGGATCCCTTCCACTCATTCCTCTTTATACCCAAAAAAAGAAAGAAGAGAGAAGCATGGCACTTTCTAATTGTTATAGAATGTACATGGACACATTTTCATATAGAATATATAGCACAATCATAGATAGAGATATTTAGGGATTTTTTTATTTTGTTTTCCTTTGATAGATTATCTATACACCTACAAATAGCTCTCCTTTTGGATTAATACAATATTGAAGATTGCTCCATTCTCTTTGTATTTTGTTAGAATAGCCGAGGTTTTGTTTTGTTCCTTCTTTTCTTTTCAAATACTAGTGTCGGTCAGCTTAGAAAATTGTCCGTAAGTGACTTGGTTGCTCACGTCTGGTACTGGAAGGGTACTTGGAACTTGATATTCCAATCTCACAACCAACCTAGGGAGGACCACCTCACCCGATCTGTAAGAACCCAGAATCCGGTGGCTGGCAGGGAAGAGTGTGAGGCTCATGCTCCAGCGAACTATTTTCGGCAGCTTCTGCATACAAGGCACGTGGGGGCGTGTGTAACGTCTGAATCAGATCAGATTTTTATTTACAACATCGTCTCAATATTTCCGGTCAGGTTTTGTGGTCTCTTGTTCAACAGACCTCAGTTGGGTTGATTTCCAAGCATTTCAGGTTCCTTAAACTTTGTTTTCCTTTGGTAAAATCGATCGACATTGTATTTGCTTATTTTGGTGTCAGATTACTGCTAAAATTTTGGTCGAAGTTTCCTCTGTGAATCTCTTGCTTGATTGATTGTTTACTCTAAGTGAAGAATTAGTCTGATTGGATCAACCGAGCTCTATTAATTCTTGAGCATCTGGAAATTTGTTGGGATATTTCTACTTCGTGGAATTTTGCTGGTTTCACCTCTCAATTTATTTTTGATACAATGAGTATTTAATTGGAACAATGACTGATCATAATCTAGTAACTCAAAGGTCTGAAATTCTTGGTTCTTCTAGTTCATCATCTGACAAAAGGTTTTGGTTTCGGTCGAGGAGTTTGCTAAATTCTCTCAATATCTAAAATCCACTTCAGTTGCTAAGTCCGATAAAGTATGTCTTGTTACCGCTTCAAATAAATGTGTCATTAATTCAGGTGACACAAATCACATGACAGGTAATCCTAATATCTTTTCAAGCTTTCGACCACACAAAACACCAACGGATCAACTTGTAACAATGTTTGATCTGGAACTGTTAAACGAACCTCCTCTATTACCTTGCCATCTGTGTTAAGTCTACCAAAATTGGCTTTCAATTTGATATCTGTCAGTATACTTACCTGAGTATACAAAATTTCCATCAAAAGAGTGTGTTTGAGAAGTCTTTTAATGCTACATTCATAGCTCTAATCCCTAAGAAACCTGGTGCAGTTGAGCTAAAAAACTTCAGACCTATTAGTCTGATAGGAGGAGTCTATAAAATCATCTCCAAGTTGCTGAATGAGAGAATGAAGACAGTGATGGGGAAATTGGTTGATGAACACCAAATGGCTTTTCTGAGAGGTAGGCAAATAATGGATGCTGCACTGTTGGCTAACGAATTGGTAGACTCCAGGGTAAAACAGAAGAAACCAGGGATTCTATGCAAGCTAGACATTGAGAAAGCCTATGACCATGTCAATCGGAATTTCCTCTTAAAAAATCTTAAAGGCATGGGATTCGGTAACAAGTGGATCGGATGGATCAAATACTGCATCTCAACGGTGAAGTTTTCCCTCCTCATAACTGGAAACACTGAGGGATTTTTCCAGTTTGAGAGAGGTCTTAGACAGGGAGACCCTATGTCCCCTTTCCTATTCTTAATAGCCATGGAGGGGTTGAATCATATGTTCAGGAAGGCAAAAACTAATGGGTGGTTGAGAGGATTTAGTGCATTTGCTGGGAGAGGGGAGGAGTTGGAGATCACACATTTGTTCTATGCTGATGATGCTCTCATATTCTGTGAGGCAGAGGAGACACAAATAAGACACATAAGGGCTATACTCACTATTTTTGAGGGCATTTCAGGCCTCCATGTCAACTGGTTGAAGAGTCATCTCTTCCCTATCAACCAAGTTGACAATCTTCTTGAGCTAGCTAAGACATTGGGTTGCCAAGTAGATGCATTACCAACAAAGGATCTGGGACTACCTTTGGGTGCCAAGAACAAAGAGCTGGAAGTGTGGAATGTGGTGTTGGAGAGATGTGAGAAGAAACTAGTCAGATGGAAAAGCCAGTATTTGTCACTAGGTGGCAGGGTAACTCCATCAAGTCAGTACTGGATGGATTGCCTACTTATATGATGAGCCTACTTCCAATTCCCAAGAACATTGAGAAGAAAATAAATAGGCTAAGGAGATCCTTTATTTGGCAAGGCAACAAGGAAAAGAGAGGCTACAACTTGGTAAAATGGGATACTCTCACACTCAGCAGAAACCAAGGTGGCTTAGGACTTAAAAACCTAAGTCTTCAGAACAGTTGTTTGCTCCAAAAATGGCTATGGAGATTCTGTACTGAAGATAGAGCCTTATGGACGAGATTTATAGCAGGAAAGTATGGTTTACTTAACCAATGGACAACTGAAGAGGTTATGGGCACATTTGGATGCAGTGTCTGGAAGACCATTAGAACAATATGGCCACATTTTAGAAACAACATATGCATCAGTGTTGGGGATGGAATGAAGACACAGTTCTGGAATGAAATATGGATATGGGAGGACAGTTTGAGAAACCTATTCCCTCACCTATATACATTGAGTCTACAAAACAATGACACTGTGGCACAAGTATGGAGTCAAGATGGCTGGAATCTGCTGTTTAGGAGAGCATTTAATGATTGGGAAATCAAGGAGGTTGCTATGTTATTAGGGGTCCTTAATAATTTTCCATGTACTTCTGATAGTTCTGATAAGCCAGTATGGAAGATACACAACAAAGGGGTCTATACAGTGAAATCATGCCACTGGAAGATGAACCATAATGTCTCACGAACTGAAAGATGGCCCTGGAAACTGCTTTGGAAGGTGAAATGTCCATTTAAAGTTTCATGTTTTGTTTGGCTACTAATCAAGAAGGCATGTCTCACTCATGAGGTCCTACAGAAAAGAGGCATGCAAATCTGCTCAAGGTGCTTTATGTGTGAACAGGAAGCTGAAGTGAACAACCATCTATTCATACACTGCCAAATAGCTACCAGTTTGTGGAATAGGTTTTTATGCATTTTGGGGGTTAGTTGGGTGATGCCAAAGACTACATTGGAGCTTCTGAACAGTTGGCTAGGAGTTGGAAGCAGAGGTAAAAAGGAAGAATGGTGGAAGCTCATCCCATCATGTATCTGGTGGTCCATATGGAAGGAAAGAAACACTAGGTGCTTTGAAGGACAGAAAATTACTTGTCAGAGGATTAAAACAAACTGTATTAATCTTCTATTTTTTTGGTGTAAACAAGATTTGGTGGGGGGGTGGGGGGGGGGGGGTAGAAGTAACAGAGTTCTTAGGAAACTTGTAATCTGATAAACTGTATGGGGTGGGCCCATCACACTATGGGATGTAAGTTTCCAAATCATCATTTCTTGGATGATGAATTTTTTCTATGAATACAAAGTTACCCTTTTCTCAAAAAAAAAAAGGCAAGATGGAATCATGTTTCAAATGCTATGTCTATGCTTTCCGATGTTGATCAACAGAAGAGTTATTACAAAGGATCAAGCTCTCAGATTTTTAGCCTTTGAACTCTTTTTTTTTTAAATGGTAGTGTTGTATTCTTTAGGATTAAGGATATGCTGGTGACCTGCAAACAGAGGGGAACAAAAGAAGAGGAAGGAAAAAAAAATACTTACAAGGATCCTAATAATTCTACAATCTGTTCTGTTTCCTCTAGACCTTCCTCTTTACACCAAAAATAAAAGGATACAATACAATCCCATCTAACCTTCTGAATGGAATTGGACCTATCTTCAAAGTTTCTACTATTTCTTTCTTTCCATACTATCCACCAAATGCAATGTGGAATTATCCTCCACCATGCCTTTTGTCTCTTGCCCCCCCCCTCCCCCCCCCCTTCTTCTTATCCAACAACTCAACAAGTCTGTAGTATGCTCGTGCATGGTCCAGTTTGTCTTTATGAGACTAAGGAAGATGACCCAAATTTGTGTTGTAAAGTTGCAATGCAAGAATAGATACTGGTTGGTCTCCGCTACGTTCCCGCATAGTGAATACCAGAATACCAAGATACTATAATCTTTCCTTTTCTCCTTAGCATTTCATGTGTCAGACACATGCAAGCCCTTCTAGCAGTGTAGTTAAAGGCACGCTTCAAGCGCGCTTAAGCCCTGAAGCGAGGCTCAAAACGTGTTGTGCGCTTCGCCTTGCTTTATGTGCGCTGCAGTGTCATCATCAAGGTTCTAAGGCAAACTTTTCCTTGCCAATGAGCCTCTTTTGAAGAAGTGACACTAAACAATTGATATTTCACTTTATCATAAAAAAAATTCAATTTATTTGGTCATATATTTGTCATTCATGTTTATAATTATTAGTCTTGGACTTAACATATATGCTTGTATTTTTTCTTCCTTTGCGCCTTTTTTCATTAAAGCCCACACTTTATTTGCGCTTTGCACTTAGGCCCCCACAGACCTTAGAGCTTTTTTGCGCTGTTCGCCTTTGATAACATTGCCTTCTAGCGACCAACCATTTTTTTTTGATAAAAGTAACAGTTAGTCTATATTTATCCATAGGTATACTACCTCAAAAGTGTAGTTCCCCTTCAAAAGTGTTGTAGTTACATAGGATCCTATACCTACCAAGTTACAGCCAGTCTATAGTTGTGCTGATTACTTCTGAGCTATCTAAGACTACTTGTTTACACCAAAAATAATACAGAGCTAAACAGTTAAACTTAAATCTTTGTATGTTGCTCTGCTTTCCTTCATGACATCTCTGGTTCCTCTCTAGCCATACTGTAGCGACCAACCATGTAAAGCATTTTATTTAATTGGTGCTAAGGTTCTCCATACCTTTATCCACAAACTCTGCTTAGAGTTGCGTTGCTGGGGACTTTCCATTTTGTGTGCCCTGCTAACCGTGAAAACCTCATCTTTACTATGTGTCCATCTGAAAGAATCGGGAGCATTGGTGATGCCAGAGAATTTTTCTAATAGCTCTAGCAATTTGGCCACTCTCTCCACTTCTCAGTCATTCAAAAACCTTCTGAAGATCAGATCCCACCCTTGTGCTGTCCAACATTCATTGATATTTGCATCTGGATTACTACATAGTAAGAACAGATCTGGAAAGGATTCTTTCAGAGGAATCTGTTTGTTCCACGCATCTGCCCAAAACTTAGTTCTCCTGCTATCTCCCACTTCAATGTACGTATTAGCTTCAAGTTTTTGCCATAAGTTTCTGATAGTTCTCCAGACCCCCACCCCATAGGAATCAACACTAACATTACTGCACCAAGGATTGTACTCACCATACTTGGATCTGATTACATCCTTCCATAAGGCTTGCCCCTCTCCATTATACCTCCATAACCACTTCATCAAAAGGCAATTGTTTTGAACTCTATCGACACTTAGACATCATATGCTTGTACGAATAGCTTCTGAAGCACTCTACCGGTCAAATGCTATTAGTTTGTTATAGTAGTTCCTCTACAAATTAAAGCATAATATTGTATTTCTCCTAACCTGTTATTAACATTGGCAGATGGCACGAGTGGAGCTTCGTGGAGTAAATACAAAAGATCTTTTTGTGGACAAAATTAGAAAAGCAGTTGCAAGTAAGTTTGTGGTTGTCCAGCTGCTCATAAAACTATAATGTTTGTCACTTTGACATGTTCCACTTTACCTTGGCTTATACCAAGATCAACCCCTTTCTTTTCACTTGATAAAAGATTGTACATTCCTCCTTGGCGGCAAACATTTTCAATTACTTTCCCATTTATTACAAGTTTTAAAGGAGCTGATTTCATAAACTGAAGGTTATGTATAAGGAGTAAATGTCACATGATTTCAGCTTGCTATAAATAATTATTGAGGAAATGGAATATAAACTGTAGTTTACTCAAAAACAGTATTGTTGAAAGCTCAATTGACGAGCATTTAAGACCTGAAGCTTGGTGTAGCTGAGGTTGGCACTTCACTTTGCTCAGATGGTGCTTAAGTTCAGGCATCAAAGAGCTAAAGCATGTGTCTGATTGCTTCTGGACTCTGTTCTGAAGAGGGGGACTTCAAATAATAGATATAGCTGGCAAAATGCTATATAGATGTATATGCTAGTGATTGAGAACAGGACACTGTAAATATGTATAACAAACGTAGTTACTAAATTAGAAAGAAACTGAAAGTTACATATTTGCATCTGAAACATAAATTGGTTCATTCTTTTACATGCTCAATTTAGTTTTGAATTTTTCGTCACTTTGGATAAAGGTTATGTATAAGGAGTAGATGTCACATTTTTTTTGAGAAAGAAAAAGATACAAGGAGTAGATGTCACATCACATGATATACCCTTTTCAGCTCGCTATAAATTTTGTTAATGCTAAAGATTGTTTTTCACCTATCAGATTCAAATTAGCTATATCTATCTTTTTTTTTTTTTTTGGAATTAACATATTTGTTATTCTTTCTTTGAAATGATCTCCTCCCTCTAGATTTTTTGAGAATAGCAAACCTTTTTACTTATTGAAAATAGTTAACTACAACACCTCTGGGTTTGCTCCTTTTATTGTCATCAGTGACAGATAAATTGACCAAGTGGCACATATGCTAACAAAGAAAAGTATGCACTTAGAAGAAGAGGCTCAATCCTGGAAGTCCATTGAGGATTTTGTCTAAAGAAAATAAATGGATAATATATAGTATTGGCAATCTTGAATTGACACTAATCAGTATCAATTTGTCATGTCTTTTTTTGGAAATTGTAATAGATGTGAAACAAGGTTCTTGGTTACTGGGTGGCGGTTGGAACAATGATATTTGGGGAGGTGATTTACCAATGGCGTCGTGGATTGACAGTATTACTCCTCATAATCCAGTAAGTCATTTTCATGAAATTACATTCTTTTGCTTTAGAATGTACATCAATGTCTTGTTTAAGATTTGGTATTTCACATGCAGGTCTGGTTAACAAGGATGGATGGTCATATGGGCTTAGCTAATACAGTGGCTCTAACACTTGCTGGAATTTCATGTAACAATGAGAATCCAAATGGGGGAGCTATTGTTAGAAATAATGATGGGGGTAATTCACTTCTCATCTTCATATATCACTCTGTTTGTTTGTTCAGCCATGCAGATCTTGTTAAATAGCCACTTACTAACGACCATTAGGTAGGTCAATGGAAATATGATCTCACTTGAACCTAGATTATTTTCAGTTCACCTAAAGGTTCCACCTATAAGCGTTAATCAATAAGGGTCACATTTATTTTTTGAATTATACCTAAATCTTAAGGGGTCGTTTGGTTGGGAACAAGTTATCCTAGGATTAGTTATCCTGGGGTTAGCTATCCTGGGATAACATATCCCACCATGTATATGGGATAACTTATCCCATCACTATAGTATGATATAAATGGTGGGATAAGTTATCCCAAACATGACAACCAAACAAGATACAAAATTTTTATCCCATCACTATTTATTTTTATCCCTCACACCAAACGACCCCTAAGTCCATTGCTATAAATAAATGCTTTTATTTAGGAGAACTTTGGAGGCTCATTACTGTTGATGACTTGATTCTTTAAAATAAATTAAAATTTTCTACTGAATTTGGACCATTACTTGCAACTGGAATTTGTAGGTGTTGCCTTTCTATGTTTTCTATGTTTACAAATCACTGAAATGATTCATTTTCTTATTCTGGTTAACCATGTCAAATAGTTTGAAAGGATTTTTGAGTTTGGAATCATTTTTAATAAAGATAATAGTTTATTGAACTGACGGGAACGCACTTTAAGATATTTACAGAAGTAAAGTATCCCATCCCAAAGCATGAATTTATATAAAGAGCATTCAATCATCAATAGTGATTGGAATGTCATATTTGCACTTTACAGAAGAGAAAATATTCAACTAATGTGTACAAAAGGTATTTTCAACTCCTTCAAGAGCTCTTGTTTTCCTCACCTATCCTTGTCCTATTGGTCCACATGAGTAGAAAAGAGCTACTTTCCATGCTCTTCTTCTCATAGTTTTGGTAGCCGCAACTCAACTTCAAACATTTTCCACGAGATATAGTATAGCCAGTATGTAATGGAGCACCGAATCAATTAATGATTGACATCCTCTCTCACTTTCTTGACATAAAGCACCATCTGATGTACATTATCCTTCTCAAATTCTGTACTGTTAGGGTGGCTCCAATGGCTCTGTTAAAGTGAATTAAGATATTTAGCTCGGTGTATTAAGAACCCTTATTGAAGAGCAAGGGGATTTCCTGTCTCTCCTTTTAGAATTATGACATAGAAAAACTTAAATGTGATGATTCATTCCTCTGTTTTCCCGTTTCTCATATTCTTTATCCATAATGATATTGTTTTGTTGGTACAGTAATCCAAGCAACCTATTGAGCTCTTCCATCTCTAGTCTTGCAGGTTTCTCCTAAAATTCAGAGATTGAAAGCCTTAAAAATAAAAATAAAGTACCCAGATCAACTGCGCCAATTTCAATTAAGTTTGCTAAAATTTGACCTGTTCAAACAAGTTTAGAGAAGATCCTTACTTTATTTGGGTCTTTTACTGCAGAACCTACTGGTCTGTTGATTGATTCTGCTATGAAGCTTGTCCTTTCCCACATCCCAGAAGCCACTGTTTACGAAAGGAGGGAAGCTCTTAAGAGAGCTAGCAATCTTGCATTAAAGAGGGGTGTGACAACAGTTGTGGATTTTGGCAGATATTTTCCAGGGGCTTCACCTGAGCACTCGTGGGAGGACTTTTCAGGTTTCAGTTCCTACACGATATAAGATGGAATAAAATCAATTTACTCTCCTTTTTAGGAATACAATGGTATGGTTATTTTTACTAGAAAGGTCAATGCCTCTTTATACTTATAATACGGAACTTTAAACATTCCAAAGATAAATTACTCGATCATCAAAGATGAAATAAGCAAATTGGATCTGCTTTCTAGCTTTTCAACTAGGATATAGAAGTTTGTCTATTGAACATGTAAAAAAACAAAGCTCAACAACTAAAGTTTCTCTTAATTCTCTTTCACTACCCGAGGTATCGCAATGGACCAGGTTTTTGAGGGATTGCTCCATAACATAGCAGGGTCGAGGTAATGGGGGACTAAGTTGATGTTAAGCATTCGTAGGCCTCATCATTGAAACCTGACCAAAGGAAATTTTTCCAGTAAAATATAACAGTGTATGCCATGAGTGTATTGCTTAGTTTCTTGGCAAGATGTTATTAAGATGATGAAAGAAGTGTGGGAACTAAACCAGTTATTGGAAATTTTATCACATTTACAGAGAAATAAAGGAAATAGAACATTTCTGCTAATATGCAGATTAATTAAGGTTAAGGTAAAACTGCAATGACATCTATTCCAATATATCCCTCCCTCCCCCTGGTTTTCTTGCTTTCTCACTCTTTTGGTGGAAATTGAAAGTTAGGATTCCTCAAAAAATAATTAGACACTGCATCTACTTCTTGGAGGGGAAGGGGAGTCTGAAGGGGGCCGCGGGATGAGAATGAGAAGCCCCAAAGAAACAGTTCGGGGCTGGGTGGTCGAATGCTTAACACTGAAGATCTGCCTCAACTGCCTCTCTATCTGTCATGCTCATTTAGTTATTCTTCTAGCTACGGGTGGAACATTTATGTAGTCATTAGCTTAGTAACACTTCGCTTATAATTGCAGATGTATATAAATGGGCAGATTTATCAGGAAATATGACGACCAGAGTTTGCTTATTCTTTCCAATGGAGACATGGTCGCGGTTAGTGGTATGTCATGATTAACAAAGCTTTACTTTTAGAGTTTTTCCTTCATATGAAGATCTGATTTTTTGACAAACCAGTCAACATTAACTAATACGCTGCCCTTCAGAATATGTAAAAGTGAAAAGGGTCAAATTTTCCCCTCTACTATGCGAAAAGGATTAATTTACCCTCCATTATATTATCAGTCCAAAAATACCCCCACCGTTACTTAAATGATTCAAATATACCCCATCTTTGTTAGGGCTTTCCAAGGTGGAAATCCAATCCTATGTGGCAGTGACATTTTGATGAGGTGGACGCCACATGGCATGCCACCTAGCCCCCCTACCCAGTTTCCCCTCCACTTGTTCTTCCACCGCTAGAACTTTCTTCCTCATACTGTTAAGAATGGATCTTGGTCCTAACCAAATCCCAAAAGCTAGCTCATGAATAGTGTTGGACCTTATTAATATTCTATGGTCATTCTTATTCTTGCTGATATTAAAGTTAGTGGATTATGTTGCATTTCTCATTAAATGCATTCTTACTAAGCTTGATCTTTTAAATCTTGTACTGGTATCCAGGATCTTATGAGCAAGTCAGGCCGCGTGCTGAGCCAATGGATTTATTTGGGCGGTGTCAAGGCTTTTGCTGATGGATCTGTAGGATCTAACAGTGCATTATTTCATGAGGTAAGAATAAGATGCTTTCTGATTTTGAAGAGCCTCTCCGAACCAAAAACTTCTCTCAATTCTCTTTTGTGAGTTCTGTCTTCTCGATGCCTTGTTGGACATAGGTGACCTGCTTGTTTGACGAGTCCTTTTCTGAATATCTGTTCCATTTTCATTCTGCATGAGCGTTTCAAAGTAACAGGGCCCATTGTGATGCAGTCAGACTTCGTTGTATTTAGTGTTCTGATATCTTTCATGTGTCTTGTAGCCATATGCTGATGATCCAAACAATAATGGGTTACAAGTGGTGGATCTGGATGGTCTTTACAACATGACTCTTTCTTCAGATAAATTTGGCCTTCAGGTATTTAGCTCATTTTATCTTTATCTGCCATTTCAACTCTTTCGAAGTTGCAAAATTGGGGCTGATATTACATTTCAGGTCAGCATCCATGCTATAGGTGACAGAGCTAATGACTTGATATTGGATATGTATGCTTCTTTGCCGTCTGAGAAACAAATTAGAGACCGACGATATAGGGTATATCTAATTGCTCTAAAGAGTAGAGATTCATCAATCAAATAAAACTCTACTTGTGAGGTCTGTTGTTTCTTCGAGGAGTAGAATTTCAAGTAATCTCTTAATATTGCAACTTACTACTTCACAGATTGAGCATGCTCAACATTTGGCTCCAGGAACAGTAGCTCGTTTTGGTGAACTATCTGTAATTGCTTCAGTGCAGGTTATTTTTTAGATGGTTGTTCTTTCTCATTCTTTCCTGTTGAGATGTGTTGAATAATATATTATAACAAAATCCAAATGAACAGCCAGATCACTTATTAGATGATGCTGATTCTGCAACTAAAAAACTTGGTTCTGAAAGGGCAGAAAGAGGATCTTATCTGTTTAAGTCACTCCTGACAAACAATGCACAATTGGCATTCGGCTCAGATTGGCCAGTATGTAATTTCTGGATTTCATCTGTTTATGTTTCTTTCAGTAATTCAGTACTCAATTTCTTGTTAGTTACTGCTATGTCGTGTGTTTTGTTGCTGTCCCCTTTCAGGTAGCAGACATTAATCCATTGAAAAGCATAAGGACATCGATGAAGAGAATACCTCCTGCTTGGGAAAAGGCTTGGATTCCATCAGAGTGCTTGTGTCTTGAAGATGCGCTAAAAGCGTAAGTAGTGGTGTTATTCTGTTCCAACTCTTATCTGCTCATTAAGATAATACTTTATGTAGCAAATCTATCATGTTTTTTCTCTGAGCCTGGAACTCATTTGAGCAGGACTAGTGAGAAGCCACTTTAACTGATCAACAGGGAGAAAATCAATATCATAGTGAACTAACTAATCTGCTACTATAGTTCAGCTCTCTGGTCCTTTGAAATTAATTTGACGTTTGCAATGACTAGTGGTAAGAATTAGTTACAGCTAAGGTTTCATTTCATAAAAGGTACACAGTGATAAGATATAAATCTTCATAGAGGCTACAGTAGTCAGTTGAGCCAATGACACGTGCTGGACCGAGTATGTGTTAAATTGTTACTTCGAAATCAAAGTGCAATTCACTTTTTGTAACCAAGGGTGTGTCTTAATCGTTAATGAAGTGGGTTCAAACCTAAACTACTACTGAAATTTAAATCCAATAGAGATAAAAAAAAAACACTAGATAATTTCTTCCCATCATCATAAACCTTAGTGGGCAGAGTTACCCGGCACCTAATGTTAGTGGGAGGTAGCTAGTACCTGGTGAAATAGTTGAGGTGCGTGCAAGCTGGCCCCGACACGAATCATTAACCAAAAAAAAGAAACAGAATAGTTGCAATTTATTTACTCTTTCCCACCAAAATTAACCGTGTCTTCCGATATTTCCTTTTTCAATCTTTATCTGGTGAACAAAGTCGGTGTAACTGAAAGAACTTGGATCCATCTTGAGGTTCATTATGTCCTTGAGTTGTACTTTTTTTCAAAACATGCCTCTTGAAATTCTGTTACCTATCTCTACCTCCCAAGGTAGGGGGTAACGTCTGTGTACACTTTAGTCTCCCCATATCCTACTTGTGGGTTTACATTGGGTTTTTTACCTAATCCTAGCTTATTTTTCTCTGGCAGGTACACCATTTCAGCTGCTCATGCATGTTTTCTTGATAAATATGTTGGTTCATTGTCTCCGGGAAAATATGCAGATTTTGTGGTTTTGTCAACGAATTCATGGGAAGACTTTGCAACTGAAGCTAATGCTGATGTTGAGGCAACATATGTTGGTGGTTCTAAGGCTTACTCCATAAAACCTGAAGATAAAAATGAATAGCACATACAAGTTCCGGCCAGGATGATTGAGAAAGATTCAACCAATTTGAACCGCGACGACAATTATGCTGTATTTGGATACATAAAATGGAAACTGTTAGTGCCAGCCAAGAAGCGCGATATGCTAACTGAACTTGGCTGGCATCACTTTTATAACGAGTCTTGAAACTGTTATAAAGGAATGTGTAAATTTTATTAGTGAAATTGTGTAACTTTGCTGTACTGGAATGTAAATGTTTTAAATCTGTATATGCTTCATATATCCATAAAACTACACATTCACATGTTACTAAAATAACTATGTACTATATACATTTAATATACGTTAAAAATATATGTAGAAAAATGTATACATATTGACACTTCTTTATTTTATTTTTAAAAAAATCTTGAACTTTGTGCCTAATGATTTACCTTTATATAAATTGAAACAGAGGGATTACTAATGTTTAAAAATGATATTTATGTATTATTTTATGCAGATAGTAGTTATACATGGATTAGTTAGTACACTTTCTATCCTACATAAAATAATACATAGATTTGCTCATAACTTACTAATACGTAGATTTCTAACTTATTTCTTATATGTCGTCTACTAAAATTCATGTCGATTACACAAAAAATTAATACATAAATAATTTATTTTTTATCTAGCTATCAAACAATTATAAATGTTAATTTTATATTATAGAAGTTCAATAAATTAGTAAGGTGGGTTGAAGCAAAATTAAGTGACTAGTCACTTCCCATCACTCAATTGAAGAGTGAGAAAAAGTAGTCCTATGCATATACTAGTATTTCAATGGAATCAATTATAAGTGAATTATTGCAATATAACTCAAGCCCCACCATATCCCTCTTACAAATTGAGCAACAATATGTCTTTATCACCTTTTTATTTGCCCCCCCCTTTCATTTGCTTCCACGTTTAATTAGTTTTTCATTTTGTCTTTTACCCTTATGGTGGAGGATCAACATCTAATCAAGTTTGGAGTTGATTAACAATAATAATATTATTATGCTTCAGCGCCCAATAAATTGAGATCGACTACATGAATTTATATTTATTTAAATTTAAGTTCATATCATCATCCTCATCATATAATAAATAAAATAAAATTTAAAATACGTTAAAAATATACTCCCTCTATTTAAATGTTTCTTGAAAAAATAAATGAATTTTTCACTTATTTTTTATGTTTGGTAAGATATAAAAAAATTTCTGTTTCAAAATATTTATATATAATTTATGCAAAAGCTACTAAGGTAGGGGCGTGGTTGTGTGGAGATAAGATGTGTTCAATAGTGATGACAAGACAATCAATATCAAATATACCTATCAAACTTGTTATTCCATAATTCTATTACTAGAAAAGTCATATTACTTTTTTTTTTTGAAAAAATATTTTTTAAAATTTGGACCCCACAAACAAACACAAACACTTTCTGCAAGCATTTCTTTTTGGGATAATACATATATTTGACTTTAAACTTGGCTTCAAATTTTAACTTTGACCTCCAACTTTCATAGTGCACAAATAAGCACTTTAACTATCCAACCTTTTAATAAATAAACACGCGATTTTTGGAGCCAAGAGCGTGAAATGCACACGCTGCCACGTGTATTATTGAGCCACTCAATGGCTGCCAACTAATTAAACACTTTACACGTCCATTTTAGAACTAAAAAAAATAAAATTAATTAAGGGTAGAGTTGTCATTTCAACATTTTTTTCACTGTTGTGTGCCTCAAAAATTACTTCTCACTCGCGCAAAATGCGTGCACATCACGCGTTTTGCCAGGTAAGACACGAGTGTTTATTTATTAAAAGGTTGGATAGTTAAAGTGTCTATTTGTGCACTTTGAAAGTTGGAGGTCAAAGTTAAAATTTGAAGCCAAGTTTAAGGTCCAATATATGTATTATGCCTTTCTTTTTTATCATTAATGTAACTAAAGAGGACCCACGCGTCGTCGTCGTCGTCGCTCGGCTACGAAAAATGATCGAGAGAGAGTTCAGTTTCTTTCCCAAATTTATTTAAATTTCCTGCTCTCCCGTTGCGTGGTTTGCTAATATCGTTATATTCGATGGATTCGATTTTCTTCTTTTCAATATTATTTATGTTTTAGTTGTATATTCTATTTTCAATACTAATTTTTGAACTTATTGATTTTGAAAACATACTTTAAATTTTATTATTTCTTACAAATATGTTATAAATAATAAAGATTAAATAACCATCATAAACTTGTTTAAAAGATATTTTATATTATTGAAGTCAACATCTTATAAACATGTTTGACAATTTCAACTTGCAAGTTGACTGCAGCAACTATATTGGCCGTGGGGAATACATCTCCCCAACTTTAAGGCAGCTTTTGTGATCGTAGACCATTTCAACGTGATCTGCTCATGACAATGATCATCATCATCATAATAATAATAATAATAATAATTTAGTAAAAAAAATAAATCAGTATTATTTTAAATTGCTCAAATTTGTCATTTTCTTATACTTTCGATCCATTCATGCGTTAGAGTATGTTTGAAATTGTACCCTTGTGACAAACTGTAAAAGAAGAAAATAAGAGATATTTTTTGTTTAATTTTGTATGTGGAGGGATGAGATGTTTTTTTTTTTTTTTTTTTTTTTTATAGATGAGGCTATTGTTTTTTTAATTAGAGGTCTCAGGTTTAAATCTTGAATATGAAAAAAATATTGATAGGGAGATCCTTCTCCAAATAGAGCCCTAGTCGGCTTAAATCTAGACTAGTCATGCTTCAACGCGGAAACTATATATCGAATGACAAATAAAATAAAATAAATAGATATTATTGAAAACCTTATTAGTAAAGAAAGATGGATTTTCAGGCATCTCATAAGAATATATTTTTACTATTAGGCATTATACATAAATTTAATTTGACTTTAACTTATATCTATGTATTTGAATTTTAGGTGTGCACATATGAACACTTAAATTTATATGAAATTATACAAATAGACACGTACGTCCTACATTACATGCGTTAAAAAAACACGTTTATGTATTATATTTTTTTTTAAGTATTTAATCATTTTTACAAGAGATCGGTAAAAAGTAACACAAAACTGATAAAAATAAAATAAAATCCTTAATTTTCATTCTTTGTATACTAAAAAAAAATGTTGGATCACACAAAAAAACAAAAAAAGAAAACAAGTGGACTATTGACGCCAAACACATCAGCAGTATAACTTATTTTTCGCAAAAACTGTGTGGATGTTTGTACCTGAAAAAATTTCAGTTCAAACCCATTCCTTTTTCCTCCATTGTAACGCACTTCTCTCTATCTCTCTGAGAATTTCATTCTCAATTATCGATTCACAATTTCAGTTCTTTCGCAACAAAATTATCAAAATATATCTCTCAGCATTTCTCTAATTGTGATGAAATTATTCTAGTTTTGATTCTGGAAGTTTATCTGTGTTAAAGTTGATTTTTTGATGAACGATAAAATGGATATGAAAAAGCGATTAACACGAGGAATATCTAGGCAATTTTCAACAGGTTCATTGAGAATGAGTGGAAAATTCAGTTTCAAAAGGCAAAATTCAATGGATCCAAGGAATAATAATATGCGGTTTAGTTTTGGTAGGCAATCGTCTCTCGATCCGATACGGAGGTGTCCGTCGTTTGAAAATGAGACGATTGCTGTACCGGATAATTTGGATTCGACGATGCAGCTCTTGTTTATGGCGTGTAAAGGTGATGTGAATGGAGTGAAGGATTTGTTGGATGAAGATGTTGATGTTAATAGTATTGATTTAGATGGAAGAACTGCTTTGCATATTGCTGCTTGTGAAGGACATGTAGAGGTTGCTAAGCTTTTGTTGAGTAGGAAGGCTAATATTGATGCTCGTGATCGATGGGGAAGCACGGTAAATTTTTGTGATTTTGTAATTTTTTGGCTCATAAAGTTGTATATGTATGAGATATTTTGTGTTTGGTATGATGAAAGAGGTTATTGAATCTTACCTTGAATTATGTAAAATGTTTTGTGAAAACATGAGCCTGGCATAATGAGTAAAGTTGATTTCATGTGACTAGGAGGTCACAGGTTCGAGCTGTCAGTCGAGCTGTGAAAATAGTCTATTGTAAAATGTAGGGTTCGAGCTGTCAAAATAGTCTATTGTAGATATGTAGGGGAAATCCTTGAGATATCTTATTATGAGAACATTTTCTTATTGTTCGTTTGCTATTATTCTCTTTGATATGTGAATAAATGAAATCAAGTAAATGTGGTGAAATTGTAATTCTAATTTCACCGATGGAAAATAGGCCAGATTGGAGCTGGAACTAAAGTTTCAATTCTGAAGAAACTTTAGCTAAGTTTTTGGATCGACTGTGAAGATATTGTGAGTGAAAGTGTTTTGTATGGAAAATAATTCTGCTACGAATTTCTTCTGTAATTTGTGAAAAATCATGCAAAGGACTACAGAAAGAAGAAAGTATTAGTGACAGAAGATGAGAAAGAGCTTGTGTAGGTCTCATAGAATAAAAAAATTGTTCAAATGGCTTCGGCGAGTCTAACTTGAGGTCGAAAAATGCAGACCTTTGACATTTACAGACTATGTATCTCCTTAATTTTCTAATTTTATTCATCTTTTTGCATTTGGGAAATAGTATTTATGAGGTCCCAAGTGCATCCTTGAACTTCCTTATTATTATGGCAGGCAGCAGCTGACGCGAAATACTATGGAAATAATGAAGTTTATAGTATCTTAAAGGCCCGGGGGGCCAAAGTCCCGGTAAGTGGGAAGATAATTTTCTAATTAAAGTGAGATTTATGATTTATGGGGCTGAGTATTTGTCACGTTGTTAGAAACTCAGAAACACACCAATGACTGTTGCAAATCCTCGAGAAGTTCCAGAATATGAACTAAATCCACTGGAGCTTCAAATCCGAAAAAGGGATGGAATTTCGAAGGTAAGGCCTTTCTTTGATTTCAAAATAAGCATTTGGATGTTTCAATTTTGAGAAATGATGAAAGCATTAAAATGGCACTAGCATAAGCAAAATTCAAAAGTTATAATGGTTATCTCTTTGATTTTAACTAGGAAAACTATACACTTTGAAGAACTTATATTCAAATGTCATCAACTATAATTCACTTGGAAAAAAGTTAAGATCAACAAAAATCATCATTACCTCATAGGAGGCCTAACCTCAAATTTCTAACTTCTGCAAACTTTTGAACGTTTTATTCCCTTATTTTCTTCCTGAAGAAAACCATGAGACATCTGCACTGACTTGCCTCTCATGCAATTTGTGCTTGATTTTGCATTGTTAATTTTTCAATCTTCTCTTAACAACTTTGCTGAAACTCCTTTGCCTTTCAACAGGGTTCGTATCAAGTTGCTAAATGGAATGGGACAAAAGTTTCTGTCAAGATACTTGACAAGGATAGTTATGCAGACCCTGAAATTATGTATGTTGTCAACTTATTTTCTGCTAATCTCCTGATTCACTACCATAATGCACATTTCTATTATTGATTTGGAAATAAGCTTACCAAAGGGATATGCATATTTTGAGCTTCAGCTAGTTACCATGTTGTCTGATTCTCTGTGACTAGCAAAGCTTTGGCATGATACATTAATTTGGATATTAAATTAGTTGTGCAGCTTTGGCGGATGATTTATGCAGCTTCGGTTGGCTTGTCATATGTTGAAACCATTATTTTCTATTTTTCTTCACTTCCACTTGGGCATATTTCATGTATCCCTTGTAGACTTGTTTGCTTGTTATGTAGTGAAGCCCAGGCTGTTTATACAAATTTTGAGGCTCATCGTTTGGATGAATCAGCCTGAGAAAACTAGGAAAAGTTTTCTAGTGTTAGTCAACAACTAATTTCCCAACGAAAGAAATCAGGACATATTGGAGTGCTTTCATGTTTGATTAAGCAGGATGCCCCACTAAGTTGTGTTCTGTTATATTACAGTCTTGTGAGCAGCTTGATCACATCATTATGTGTGCTTACATACAACTCTAACCTTTGTTTACAGATTGTAGATAGTTCTTGTGTTTTTTACGCAAGGTAGATTGTGAACATGGTATTGAGATGGCTCTAATAGGTGCCTTAATCAAGTTCTCATTAGAAAACCAAATCCCTGAAGCAGCTGGAAATACATTTGTCAAAAATATTGAAGTGTATATCCTTCTGATCATCAGGTCACACTGCTTCATGTGAATAGCAACTTCAACAGTCTATATACATGAATCTGATCCTTTGAGCATTTAAAATAAGATAGAAAGATGAAAATATGCATCGCAAAAGGAAATTCAGCCTTCTAGGTAAAAGACTCTTTATATTCACATGTTTCCAAGATGCTGGCAGATTGAGTTGACGATGGATCTGGATCTTTGATTTGTAGTAATATGGAATAAGTTGAGGATCACACTTCGTCATTCTGGAGTCCTTTTTGTTAGGCACTTTTCAAGTTTCATACAAACATTTCTCTAAAACCAACATTTTTTAAACAATTGTACAAGCTTCTTTGTAATTTTCTAATCCCTAGTTAAGGAGACTGGGATTCTTCTACCTCGGTTTGTAGCATAATACATAATAAGTTGATTCTCTCATCTGTTATTTGTGATAGCCACCTTATGCAGTTTACCTCGTTTCATGCTAACCTTTCTCTGAAATTCAAACTTAGGATGCATAAAGCCCAGCTTCTTTTCAGGGTTCATTGTAAGAAAAACTGGTAGCTCTATCCTTTTTCTGGTGTCTTTCTAAATCAAGAAAAACTTATAATCTTCACTCTTGTGTGATTGCCACAAATTTTCCCTCGGACATTGAAGTGATTCTGGGGAGATGCTTTATTTCCAAGTGTCTTGATTCATGAGAGGACAGACCCTAAGTTTTACTTCAGCATTATTAGACCTTTTAGATTATCTTCTGAAGTGTTTCTTGGTCTAAATGTAGAACCAGTTTTTGTTATTATGTTCGTTTAGTTTCTCATTTGAACAAATTATTTTCAAGTTGTTATTTAAGATTGTCAAAATCTTATTGTTTAGCTAACTGTTTCTATTCTTGATGTTAAGGTCGCCTTAATTCCATTTCCTTCACATGCAGAAATGCTTTTAAGCATGAATTAACTTTGTTGGAAAGAGTACGGCATCCTAATGTGGTTCAATTTGTTGGAGCTGTTACACAAAATATACCAATGATGATAGTAATAGAGTATCATCCGAGGGTAAGTTCTCTCTATTTCTCTATCTCACACTGCTCCGCACAAAATCCCTTCTTCACTCTATCCACCTACACACTATATTGTGAATATTGTATGTTATTATGCATACATTAATATTGAAAAATATTCAATCAGCTCTTACATCAAATGTGCAATCAATTTTGTGCTGTGATTTCTCTCCTGGTGTAATTTCATTCTTATCGATTTTATGCGCTGTACTTCTTGTTCTTGGCTTAGCTTTCCAATGGGTATTTCATTCATGTATTGTTGATTTTCAGGGTGACCTTGGTAGCTATCTTCAGAAGAAGGGACGTCTATCTCCTTCTAATGTTCTAAGATTTGCTCTGGATATTGCCAGGCAAGTCTGGTCCCTTTCCTACGTACTGAAAAAATAATTCTATTAGTACATCTGAGATATTTTATTATTATGCTGATAAGATGTTCTAATTTCTTTGGTTGCATCCTGTTTCCATCATATGATCTTATTTTCAGGGGCATGAATTATCTTCATGAATGTAAACCGGACCCAATCATCCATTGTCTTTTAATGCCAAAGTAAGAAAACTAAAATGCTTTATGATTCTCATATATTAAATGACCATTTCTAGTGTACTCGTGTCACGTATCTACTTCTTTTAATGTTTGTAATTTTTGTAAGGTGCCAGAAATATTTTGCAGGACAATGGTGGTTTATTGAAAGTTGCGGGATTTGGTTTGATTAGATTGTCAAACATTTCACCTGACAAAGCAAAGTCGCTGCAACCTCAAGCCATTGACCGTGCAAGTAAATACTTTAATTTGAGCTCATATAGTTAAATTACAATACTCCTTATAAAAGGCAGAAAAAGAGCCTTCTAGTTTGATACTAGTGTCCACTTTAAAATCTTCAGGGGATGGACTTAAAGGTATTCTAATTTCATGACTGAAGGAATTGTAACTACAATAACTGCACTCTCTTTCTTGTTACTTGTAGGTACCTATATAGCACCTGAGATTTATAAAGACGAAATATTCGATAGAAGTGTGGATGTATATGCTTTTGGAGTTTTACTTTATGAGGTACAGATTCAGTTTCAGATAATTTAACTTATGGCTGCCTTTTGTTTTACTACATAATTCTCTTAGCTAACTAGAACATCCGTGTTATGAACTAGCATTTTAACATTCTTCTTATCTTCTATGTTTTTCTTTTTTAGAAAAAAAAAATTCTAGTCAATTTTGACTGCCAAATACAAAGTATTGTAGGTTCCTTCTTTTTCTCCCACTTTGCTGGAACACTTCATGATATGAATGATGTTGCTGTGCTTCATATGCTAACTCTTTTTTTTTTCTTTTTAATCTTTTGGGGCATTTTCTTGAATCAGTCTTCCTCAAATGTTTTTCAGCTCTTATCTTGTGCAGTATACGATTTTGTTTACTGTTGAATTTTGGCTAACTTTGTTGGGTTTAGATGATGGAGGGATCACCACCTTTTCATCCCAAGTCACCTGAAGAGGCTGCTAGATTGATGTGCAAAGAGGGTAAAAGACCATCATTCAAGTCAAAATCTAAGTATCCGCCGGACCTTAGAGAGTGAGCACTGCGATTCATTTTAATTTTCAATACTTGGATGCAATCTATTCTTTTGCCGTTCGTATGCAGTTATAGAGTAGAAACATGCTACTAAATATAGCAGATGTTCCATGTCATACTCCTAATCATTCTAATGGATATGACTTCTTTTGTGAAAGGATTGCAAAAAAGGATTGTTGTTTGCTGTTTCACTTTACAGAAGTAATGTGTGATTTTCTTTGGCTTCTGCTATCTGGCCGCTTAGTCCAGCATTGTGTTGTCGTTTTACTTTAAACTTTCATTCTTCAATTCGATGTTCTTTTCCTACCAGAGATCTTGGGCATTTCTAAGTGGACAATGATATATTCTCCTGTGTCCATCCATCTGATGATAAAATATTCAACTGTACAGTGTGCATTACCTTATTTTAGATTTCCTTATATTTTACTGATCTTAAAGAATATAACAAACCAATTTTGCACAGTCAGGCTGCCTCCCCCCACCATCATCTGGCAAGGCTCTGTCTCTCTAATATTCTTTTGTTGATCATATTGCTTAAGGATAAGTTCAGTGGTGATTTTCATGTTCCGTTGACAAAATTTGCTGAATGTCTAGGTTGATTGAAGAATGTTGGAATCCAGATTCTTTTATACGGCCAACATTTTCGGAGATCATTGTGCGCATGAATAAAATTGTTGCAAACTGTTCAAAACACGGATGGTTGAAAGATACTCTAAAGCTTCCCTGGTAATGCTTCCACTGCACTATTTTTGCATATTTTGGATCCTTTTTCAGTTGTTTACAATATTCAAAGGTCCTTGGACCAAGAAGAAAAGATTCAGCACAGTAGATAACTTCTACAAGAACTAAAATAGCTTCTACACAACGTTTCAAGCATTATGATTTGTACATTATCATGCACTCTGTTTTAATCTCATTTAGTTGTAACAGCATATCCATGTGCAAAGCATAACTAACTTCAGTGGCGATAACTAAGCTCTATAACTAGTTTGTGAAGCTGTAGATTAAAGTAGCTTTTAACTTTCAAGAAACCTGACAACATAAAGTTCGATTTGGTAGTTGGAATGTGTGATAATCTCATCTAAAAGTTTAAGCTATTAAAGAAAGCACACTTATATGTCCTTAATTATGCCTCCAACATGCCCAGTCATGTGGCCAAGCTTGTAGAATTTTTTTGTAATAATGGATGACGGTAAGACTCGAACCCAAGACCTTTGTCTGTTCTTGATACTCTGCTGAAAGCTTCAAAATACCCCCAAAGAGTTCAACAAGATATACCATATTGAAAGCTCTAAGCTGTAAGTAAAGAATAACTTAGGTACATGTGGAAGATTTAGCAATAGTTGTATGGAAGAAATCTAGTAAACTAGAGAGAGTAGATATACCGTCTTGTGACGAGACAATAAAAGTAGATTACAAAATTTGTTTTCCATCATAGGGACCATACCTTAGATGAATTTCTTGATGCAGGTTATAGAGTGAAGCAAACTACATTGACCATGGACAAAGCTTAAGATCTGGAGAAGAATATTGACACAAGATTCTTGTGACTATTCGATATAATTATGTGGATGTGTGGCAGATTATGATATCATACTAAGCCTTATGCTGTCTTTGCAAGAATCGTCGTCCATCGTGTTGTTGGACCAAATAAAAGGAAGAAAGAAGGGTGTGAGTGATTGGGATGAGAATTGAAACTTCATGCACTGTGCTTCTCTAGTTTTGAGTAAAGCTAGAACTAGAGAAGTTCCTTTCTTAGAGTCTGTTTATAAGCTTTCACTAGAAACAACTTGTATCTTGTTGTATAAGGAAAAGAGGAAGAATAATATACTTTTATTTTTCTTGTTTGATATGTTAATCAAACTATCGAGAATTCATTCTGCAACTATTGTATAAATGCATCCCTTATCGCCTTTTCTGTTAACCATCCATAGTAACGAACTTGCAAAATGAATATGTTTATCATAAAGAGATTTTTTGTTTCTGACCATACTTCACATGTTACCTATACATACAAAACCAAAAAAGTGAGCAATTACTGATCTGACTTTTACTATTTTGTTCCAATTTTTTCTCAACCTATGTTTTTCTTCACTTCAATAAATTTGTGATAATTACAGTCCTAACCACTCCGGCCAACTAGTTTATAAAATATGTACAAATTATATAGGTTGTATATATTTTATACTAAATATACCTTTGGAAGTTTGTGTTTTGCACAAAAAGATAAATTTAATTAAAGAGTAAAATATTTATATTGTCTTAAACAAGCCAGCATCAATAATCTAGTGGTAGAAAATGTATTCACCAGATATACATACATCATAATCAATTAAAGGTATCGTGATTTATCCCCGTCTTCGTTCAAGAGTCTATAAAAGTATGTTTCCCATCTTCATTTGTCTCTTCTACTAGCACTTTACCGTTCTCATTTTGATACACTTCTAGTTTTGAGTATAATGCATATCTAGACACTCTTAACTTGTTCATTGTGTCAATTGAACATTTCAACTGATAAAATAATGATTCATGAAATGTTTAGTTGTCAACTGAAATCAAATTGAGATGTCTAAATGTGTACTCTTAAAGTTAAAGTCTTTATCTGGCCAAATTTAAATATCTCTTTATTGTACTATGCCATTGTTATCTAGCTAATTTGGTGTATCAATTATATTGATGCAAAATGTTGATATTATGAACTTGTCAGAGTTAACCTTTTTCTTAGCTTAATCAAGATATTAATTAACGGGAAAATTGTATAAAAATAACAAACTATTGATTCAAATTAAATGTTATAACCACAGTTTCATTTAATTGTAATCGTAGCAAACACTTGACATTCGCCTCTCTCCCCAGAGAATCTCGCTCGCCACTCTCCCTGATCGCGCTCACCACTCTCCCTCGCCTCTCTCACTTTATACAAACACAAATGTATAAATTGTGTTTGTGTTTGTATAAAGTAAGAGAAAATTGTATATGCAAATACAAATGCATATATTTTCGTCCTATACACTTATAATTATACAAATACAGATCTTCCCCTACCAGTTCTCTTTTGCCTTTCTCTCTTTCTCGATTTATACAAACACAAATTATACTAATTACAAATTTTATGCAGATATACAAACACAATCATTGATACATACACATACTAGTTATATATATACAATCATTTTTTTCATATACAAACGAATGCCTCCTTGCGATTTATACAAATCTGATTGTCACCCCCCAAGGCTACCCCTGGACGTGGACACGGGACCTAGGATCATGAGTAACCCCAAGCTAACCCTGTTGGCATAACATGAGCATACTAATAGTAAACTGAAGCAATAAATACTGTGGGGAAGCTAATCATGAGATAAATCTGAAATGATGGGAATACCCATATACTAAATCTGAATAAAGAAATCTGAGAGTTCAACAACAAATGAAATATCAAACTCGAATACTAAGCTGAATATAAACTATGTTTGAATATAGTCTCTAACTGACTAGAAGTGCAGGGACATGCCCCAGCTAAATCTAGCAAAAACTGAAACTAAAGACTAAAAGCATAAAAGACATCATGTCACTCGTCCTCGAAGAATGAGGACTCACCACTAATGCTGCTGAAATGGAGATTGAGAACCGATCTATGCGTGATCTGACTGCTGAGGGCCTGAACCTACATCACGAGAAGATGTAGCACAGAGTATGCGTCAGTACTTGAAAGGTACTAAGCATGTAGGATAGAGTAAAGCTGAATAAAATCATAACTGAACCAAAGCATATATTGAGTAATGATATGATACAAATATGATACTAAACTGAGAATACTGAACATGAAATAACTGAATGCAATGACCAAATTTATAACATATTGAGACTGAATACTGAACTGTACTGATAACATGGTCAATGCATTAGAGTCTGATTGAGCTGTGGGAGCTACCAATAACCGACATAAAACCACGTGAGCTAAACGTGGAGTCCGATGTATATGCCTCCATCGAGAGGACCCATTATACCTTGCCAAGGGTATAAAGGCATGACTGACGTGATCACTAAAATGATCCCACAAAGGGGGCTTACAACCTACGGGGAAACGTAGTTATGGGACTATGAGGGTGACTGACCCTAGTCCAACTCGGTATTACGTTTCTCCCAATTGATTAAGTAATTAGGAAGTTATGACTGAAATTATGTAATATACTGGATAGCTCAAAATATCGACATGCTAACTGAGAATGCAACATTAATATACTGATAATGACACATTTAAAAACTGAGGCATGTATATTTGAAATAATTGAAATATCTGACCTAGCATGTGTAATTCAAGAACTAAAGAAATACATAGCTAAGGTTTTGAAATTCATGCAAGAAACGAAGTAATAACATGATAATCTGATTTGGAACATATACATAACTAATTCATAATAATCTGCTGAAATTCTAGAAACCTTAGGTCTAGTTTTAATAAGGGAATCAAGAATCTGACTGAATTCTAGGGACGTAATGGGTGAAAGGAACCCACTTGTGAAATCCCACATACCTGGTGACGAATTCCACAGAGAAATCTTTTGATTTCGGGGTTGGAATTGATGGAATCTTGTTGTGTTCTTGAACTAGGGTTCTTGACCTCTTTCTCCTTTTACGCTCTAATTTTTCTAAGTTTTGATGAATGATTTGACTAAGGTAAGTTCTAGTTATGTTTCTAGGCTAAAACTGATCAAAATCACGTAGTTTAGGATTTAAACGAAGTAGTTTAGGGGTCCAACGCATAAGGAAAAAACCAAAAGACCCCTGACTTAACTGATGTCGGGGTCATCGACGGACGAGATTGACGGACCGTCGAACGAATGACGGTTCGTGCTGGTCAACCGTCAATCATTACTGGGGGCTAAAATTTGAGGTGTCGATCCACGGATACGGACCACGGTCCGTGACCTGATCTATAGACCGTAGGTCCGGTCGTGGGTCAACACTTTGCCAAATTTTCTCTAGAGTCCTAAGGAAGGGTCGCAGTCGCGAACCACGGACCACCAGCACGAGCCGTGGGTCACCCTACGGTCCGTGGGTGGCAATCGTGGGTTGCACCAGTAACTTCTGTAAATCTGCACTAAGGTCTGTTTTCGGATACATGGTGTTACATTATCTCCATCTTGGGAACACTCGTCTTCGAATGCAGACTAAATAACTGAAATGGAGGGAAAGAGCTGCAACCCTACCACAAAAATACTAAGACTGATTTCTGACTGAACTAAGTTCCAAGAACATGCAAATACGCTGAAAATGCAAGTACAAATTGAAGGAACATGATACTAGGACTGAATCTGCGCATAAATAACTGGAAAGCTGAAGAGGAACTAATACCTCAAGCTGGAGTGGAATCAGAAGGAAAGAGGTAAGGGTACATGGTTGTTTCTGCTTCCCAAGTAGCTCCCTCATCCACAAAACCTTGACTGAAATGACTTCTTTGTTTCTCAACCTTCTAATCTGACGATCAAGAATCTCAACTGGCATATCCTCATAAGTGAGATTATCCTTTACAACCACACTTTCTAAAGGTACAATGGATGCTGGATCACCTACACACTTCTTCAACAACGAAATGTGAAAAATCGAATGCACTGATGCTAGTTTTGCTGGCAACTCTAACTCATAAACCACTTTTCCAATCTTTCTCAGAATCTTGTAAGGGCCTACATATCTAGGACTGAGCTTCCCTTTCTTGTCAAATCTCATCACCCCTTTCATAGGTGACACTTTAAAGAAAACCCAATCATCAATTTGGAACTCTAGTTCCCTTCTCCTTACATCTGCATAAGATTTCTGGCGACTCTGGGCTGTCTTAAGTCTATCTCTGTTGAGTTGCACTTTCTCCATAGCATCATGAACTGAATCTGGTCCTATCAAGGCTGTTTCACCTACTTCAAACCAACCAACTGTAGATCTACATCTACGCCCGTACAATGCCTCATAAGGGGCCATCTGAATGCTGGAATGGTAGCTATTATTATAGGCGAACTCTATAAGAGGAAGGTGATCATCCCAACTACCCTTGAAATCGATCACACAAGCTCTCAACATGTCCTCTAAGGTCTGAATGGTACGTTCTGCCTGACCATCCGTCTGTGGATGAAATGATGTGCTAAGATTAACTTGAGTACCAAGACCTTTCTGAAATGACTTCCAGAAATAAGAGGTAAACTGAGGACCTCTATCTGAGATGATAGACAAAGGAACCCATGCAACCTGACTATCTCATTAATGTAAAGCTTGGCGTAGTCCTCCGTCAAATATGTAGTCTTGACCGCCAAAAAGCGTGCAGACTTATTAACTCTATCAACAATCACCCAAATGGAGTCATGCTGTCTGCGAGTATGAGGTAAACCCGTGATGAAGTCTATGTTGATCACTTTTCACTTCCAAGTAGGAATGTTTATCTCTTGAGTCATACCTCCTAGTTTCTGATGTTCTACTTTCACTTATTGGCAATTAGGGCACTTAGCCACAAAACCTACTATATCCCTCTTCATGCCATTCTACCAAAAGACTTCCCACAGATCATGGTACATCTTAGTGGCGCCTGGATGAATAGAATACCTGGAGTTATAGGCTTCTGCAAGAATCTGTTGTCTCAACTCACCCATATTAGGAACACATAATCGACCTTGGTAGCGAAGCACACTATCTCTCCCTTGGGAGAAAACCTCAACTCTCTGTTGATAGACTGCACCCTTGAGTTCAAGCAATATCGGATCACTTTCTTGCTTTTCATTAACCTTTGCTACCAATAAAGATTCTGATCCATTCTGAATCGTTACACCGCCATCTGATATGCTCATAAGACGAACTCCTAAACGAGCAAGCCTGTGAACATCCTTCGCTAGTTCCTTTCTTTCTTACTCAACATGTGCTACACTACCCATAGATAGT